TTTCTTGCATAATTTGTACCATATACAAATTTTATTTGAATGCAAAATGGATACAGCCATCAATTCTGAAACCTTTAAAAGTGTAGGAAATGAGCTTGAAATTCCAAAAAATAAGGATAATTGAGCGTGTAAGAATGAATTTGGGAAACACGTCAAAGGCATTATTCAAGACATAGTTTTCATTTTGATGAAAATCCATAGTTACCATAATTTTATACATGTTTGAAAGTGTAGGAAAAGAATTTAAAATGTCAAAAAATAATGAAAATTAAGCTCTTAAAAATCAATTGAAAAATATGACTAATTACAGTATTCAGTATGAACCATTTAGTTTTATGGGAATTGAATGTTACCATTAAATTTTAAACACTTTTAAATGTAGGGAACAAATTTAAAATTTCAAAAAATCATAAAAAATAAGGTACACACATGTATGCAAACAATTAAGTGAAAAAGTGATGAATTAATTAAAAAAAACGGTGTCAAATGCAGCATTCAAGGTATAGTTTCAATTTGGGGAAAAATGGTTGTTACCATAATTTTCTACATGTCTTAAAGTGTAGGAAATAAATTTAAAATGTCAAAAAATGATGAGAATTAAGCTGTAAAAAATTAAGTGAAAAAATGGGTCTAATTTCAGTATTAAAAATGAACCGTCCAGTTTTAAAAAAATTGGATTGCACCATTAAATTCTACACACATTGAAACCTAGAAAATAATTTTAAAATTTCACAAAAGCATAAAAAATAAGGTACATACATGTATGCAAACAATTAATTGAGAAATGAGTGAAAAAAAATAATTAATAATCAAAATTCATTTTTATGAAAAATGGTTTTTACCATTAAATTCTACGCCTTTTATAGTGTAGGAAACAACTTTAAAAATTCAAAAAACTCAAAAAATAACCCATAAAAAATTAATTAAAAAACCGCGTCTAAAAGCGGAAACCGCGTGTGCTGCGGCGCATCAAAACCGCGTCAAAACGCGGAAAAACCGCGTTTTTTTATTAAGGCCCTTGAAGTATATTATTTTATTTTATTGGCCGAGCCAATAGATTAATGATGAATAAAGTTTATTTTATTGGCTGCCCAATACATGTGCCCACGAATAAAAATTATTGGGCCAAGGGCCCAATACTATACTTAGCCCAAATATTGGGGTGGTATTCATAGGCAATACCACCCAATATCAATACTCAGCTAATATCTGTTTGACCGTTGCTGTGGTCTATTTTAAGGCATTGTCCCGGGTTTCGGGACGGGGCTGGAAGGCTATCCCGAGTCCCGGACCCCGGGAATCCCGGGACTGCCCGAAGCCCCGTGAATTCCGTTCTGAGCCCTCATCTGGTTCTTTTCGTGTCTTTTTCTTATTTTTCCA